AGGAGGAGGGCAGCGCCATGACTCATTTGCAGGCAGGTCTCTCCCCGGAGACTCTGGAGAAAGCCCGGCTGGAGCTGAACGAGAACCCCGACACCTTGCACCAGGACATCCAGGAGGTGCGGGACATGGTGATCACCCGGCCGGACATCGGCTTCCTCCGCACCGACGATGCCTTCATCCTGCGGTTCCTGCGGGCCAGGAAGTTTCAGCACTTCGAGGCTTTTCGCCTCCTGGCCCAGTACTTTGAATATCGCCAGCAGAACCTGGACATGTTCAAGAGCTTCAAGGCCACAGACCCGGGCATCAAGCAGGCGCTGAAGGATGGCTTCCCCGGCGGGCTGGCCAACCTGGACCACTACGGCAGGAAGATCCTCGTCCTTTTTGCTGCCAACTGGGACCAGAGCAGGTAAATGCAGAGACACCCACCCGCCTTAACCCCTTCTTTCCCCGGGAAATGCTATGCCAGACCAGAGGATGGGTGGGCAGCAGGGACACACCCCGCTCTGCCCACTGGGGGCTGGGCAGCAGCCTGGAAGGCAGAGGGAGAAGAAAAAGAAGAAGCGTATTTCGTGGCTTAGGGCCTTTTCAACCTTCTCATCCTTTAGGCTCTGAATTTTGGGAGAGAAGTAGGAACTACTCGGATACTTTTCTCAACTGGCTGATAGGAGGTTTACACCCTTCTGCCTCCCCTTAGCTGAAGTGAGCTGGCATGGTAGATGATGTGCTTATCCCCCTGACAAAGGCTGGTTGCGATCTCTATGCTGGTCTGCCTGCTTCAGCATGCACAGAGCTGCCTAGGTACTGTAGGAGAAAGTGGGAGATACTGTGTGCAAAACAGTAGTATCCATCATGGCTTTTGAGCTGAAAAGTTTGCCTGTGCAGGAAGCTGAGGCTCCGAATTCTTTCCCTCAGCTAAAGAAAGCTCTTCCTAAGCCACCTGGAAATGCCAGGATGGAAGTTAGAATAACCACGTCTTTCCCCACTCACGCTGCTCTAAGTGTGAATTCCCCGCATAATAAGATCCAAGCACAAAAAGCTTTGGTAGCAAATTGAAGGAGGCTAGTGCATTCCCCAGAACAATTTCAGATCCTTTTTGGGACTGCTGTAGCCTGAAGGTGACTTAGCAGGCTGACCCAAGAGCTGTCTCCCATCAACACCCTTTCTTTTAGCATTTGGCTTGATACTGTGTGACACTATTTGGTTAGTCTAAATACATCATTGGGTGTCATGCTTAGTTTCTCCTGCAGCCTACAATTACACCCGCAAAAATTGCTTGATTTTCAGTACATGTAAATGAATGAAGCCGTTAAGAGTGAACTCTAAAGCCTACTCCAGTGAGCACTGCATGGCTTCCCTGGGCTCCCAACCGAAGAACAGGTTTAGGATCTGAAGCACTTCTTAATGGAGAAAACTTAAAATCTTGCTAGTTGCCTTCACATGAACCCAAACCGTCTCTTGTGCAGTCAGCGCAGGCTGGGCACAGGCAGTGCTGAGTGCTCCGTGCAGATACCCCAAGCCAGCTATTCTGAAACACGGCACGAACAGCTAGCAGTGTGCGTAGAAAGGACAAAATTTAGGGGATCGGCATGCATAAGCTTGCCCTTTCCGTGTTTGTGTAGCTGTCCTCCTGCGGGCTGTGTCGATAGCCATTGCGGGGAGCGACCCCGCAGCTCCCTGCAGCGGTCGGTGTTGCAGGGGTGGGTCTCTGCCCAGAGGGCTGCTGGCACGCCGTGGCTTTCCTCCTCTCCAGGCGGGGCGGCCGCACCCACGCTGCCTATGGGGAGAGTTTCCTAGCCCTTGCTAACCCATGAATCATGCCCAGGGACTGGGAGAGAGCTGTCTGGCACAAACCAGAACTGCCCACGGCCAGGCTAACGACTAGCAAGTGTGGATGAATGTATGCAGAGCTGGGTCCAGCGTCCCTTTCCTGCTTTAGTTTCCTGGCAGATGGACCCAAAGCAGCTGGGCGAGGAAGCCATAATGATGAGGCTAAGGACTCTCTTAGTGGCCTTCATTTCCCATATATAAGAACCAGGTCAACTTTTTATTTTAAAAACAGCTCCATAAACTCTTAAAAATCCCTGAACAAAGGATTAGCAAAGAAATGGATGTTTAGGCTTTTATTAAGTCATCCATCTACCATGAAGAAGATCCCTTATTAAAGGTAGTGTGGCCTACTCTATACTGTTATTTCTCATTAATGAAAAAACCCCCAAAGTGTTATGTGACACTTTTCAGACCATTAGTTCCCAGTCAAAAAAACACCAAGACTTTGAATTCAGAGATAAAGTAGCGTTTAAAAAAAATGGTTGCCATGTAAAAAGAATAGGTTTATTTTCTTCTTAATTTTGGATGTGCTGATATTTAAACTACATGAGATCAGCTGACACAACAGTAAATTTATTGTGACCTTTTTCGTGAAGTCCTATTGGTAAAATTATTATTTAGGATATAATAGGGAAGGGACTGGGGTACACAGGGGTACCTAATGGCCATGTTTGCAGTTGGGTCCCTATGACTCTTCAGCGCTGCACACCCACGGTACGCCTCTGCTCCAGAGCCAGGGATTTGTTTCCAGACAGACCACTCAGACAAAGGGGAGAGAGCCGAAGCCCAGCTGCGGGGAGTGGCTTGCTCCAAGGCACATGACAAGTCTGTGACAGATCTGGGAATGGTGTTAGGTCACTCTCTTTTCTAATTAATTTAGTGTCTTCCATTATCTGATATTCAGCAACTGAACCTGGGGAGCATTGTGTATGGAACTTACACTGGAGCCGCTACGCCGTATGTCTCAAGCTTATGCCTTAACTGACTTGGGATCTCACAGGATGTAAACCAGTGCTCCTCTTACAGCAACACTGGCAGGATTGCTTTTTGAAGCCTGTCTTGTTAGGACGTCTTCGTATGCTTCGTAAACTAAGTTAATAGAGCACAGCAAGCCTCCAGATTTATCATGTGTGTAAGATTTATTACGGCCAGCATGTAACAATTAGAAATAAAAAGTTCCAATTTGTTATTTAAATGAATAGCAGACATACTATAGATGATTTATATAGCACCAGCAGCCTATGATTTACATGGTTCCAATTAGAAAGAAAAACGTGGGAGGCAAAAAATTCCTATGGTAAAACAAGCCTGTGTATTAGATGTTAAATCATTAAATTAAGGCAGGGCCTGAAAACTGTACCAGATGTCCTACAATCTGAACAACTAAATCAGACACGTATTTAAAACAAACAAACAAAAAAAGGGAAGGTGAAGGATAATGCATTGAGTAGCCAGCAGCTTTTCAGTGGGACCCTGCTTAACTCTCCATCCTGTCTCTTATTCCTGCCAGGAGGCTGGATAGCACTCGGGGAGGGATCAGCCTTCCCTACTAGAGCTTCCAGATTGTTGATTCGTAACTACATTTGGCTTGTAGGTGTGTACGTGCATTGGAAGACTCCTTTTTCTTAATGTGTCCAGCTGGTGAAGTTTTTTTCAGTTAATGGTACAATTAACTTAAACTCTCAGCAGCAAGGGATCTGTTGTCATGCATGTTCTTCTATATGCTTCGTGGCACCTGTACACAAATTCCCTATGCAAATCATTCCGTTTTGACGCTATTTATTTGAAACCTTTCCCTGCGTTAATCATCTCAGAACTTTTCTTACAAAGTGCAATAGAAAAGTGCAGTAGAAAAGTGCAGTAATGCCTAGTTCCTGTGTGTCACAGTGACCCAGTCAGCTCACACCATCCTCGGTGAATATGGAAGTCCACTGCACTCCTTACCCTTAGCTCTGCTGTTGCGTCAGATGATACAGCAGGGCGAAGATGGGGTCCACTGCTTTGCTTTCCCAACTATGCTTTCATGTGTGCTAGAAACTTTTCTTTTCCTCCCATTAGACGAAAATGTAAATTCTGTCGCTATTAGGAGGCTGGTCTGCTCCTCAGCTCACTACCGCAGGCAAGTTGGCAGGGTATTCTTTAAGCTCTGATGGAGGCAATGCTAACAATAATAACATATTAACAATAACAAAATACCTGGTTAATTGAGTAAAATACCTGGTTAATAGAGTCAATTTTTGTTTGGAAGTAATATCTTTCAAATAGTGATTCTTAACTAGTGCAAACTGTCATTTTTTCTACAGTTTCTCCTGCTGACTGATGCTGTCATATTGTTTCCTAGCTTTTCCCCAGGCATTCGTATCTGCCTATTATCATTTGTGTTTAGACTGAGTCTTTTGGCTAGGGATCTTTTTGATCAATGCTAATGTAAAATTTAGATCAGCTTCATCCATGGCTGTGATTGTTAGACACTGGGCTAACACAAGGAGTAATGAATGGTATTAAATCTGAATCTAAAAGCTAATCTGGTAAAATATTTGAGGCAGTTTCTATTTTTCTATGCATTTTTGTAACACTGCTGTTGCTTTTTGTTTTTAGAATAAGGGCCCCCAGGGCATGCTGCCACTATTTAAGCAGAATAGCTGTATGAGAAGTTTCGATCCCCCATCTTTTCAGCATTCAAATCTGTACTCAGACTGACAAACCAAGGAGATCTGAGGCATCATTTCTAGCTATGCCTTTGTGTATCTTGAGGGCTCTTGTTTCACTAAAATTCTAAAAATATTGAGCCAGAGCAGTTGGTTAGAAATGAGATGATGGCTCAGAGACTTGACCAGCTTCTCTTTTAAACCACAGTGGCACAAGAGCTCATTGGACAGAAACCTTTATTTGTGCAAATGGTGATGAGTTTAAAATACGGATTATGTGTTCCTTACATGTTTGGGACCTTCAGGAGACGTGTGGCTTAAAGTCAAGCAATGAAGACTTACCATTTATTTCTTCTAGTTAACGGTTTGCATCCTGAGAGGCAAACTCATGCCATTCATTTTTAATTCTCAAAATAACTTGAAATTTCTTGATACTGGGGGAGGAGATGACAAATAACAATAGAGATTGTAGGGCAACTCCGCCAAATCAGATTATCTGTTGTTCAGTGCAAATGTGAATTGACAGGAACCAGAATCTGGTTAAACAGATGATACGGTGGATGCCACCCATCATCAAGAACATGAAATATTGAAAACAGCTGACACAGCTGGATTTGATATGAGACCTCTGTGTCCTCCATTCTCCCTGCCTCTTCTTTTTCTGTTGGCCTGGTGTAAATCACAGTGGCCTCTGGGAGTGGAGAGGATGCAAAGACTGCATAACCAAGAGGTAAAGGTGAAAGATCATAGTACTACCAAGAGCTGATAGCAGTGACTGCCAGACTGTTTTTCCCAGAAATCCTTGGAAATACTTTGAATTTGTTCATGTCCCATAGAAAATTCTCAAGGAACTTTTCTTTTCTGTGAAGGGGAAATTGCTGCAACTATTAAATTACAAGAGAACAGGATGCTCAGTAAATTGTTTGAGCTG